TTCGTACAATTTCTCCTATGGTTGAGTGGAAACGTTCTATGGGAGAGTTAGAGTTAGGATTATAAGGCGTCGTGAAGTGGATGTTAATGTCGTGTAACGCACATATTTCTTTAATTACGTCATTGTCAAATTTATTGTCAGAGTCTGTTGTTATTTTATGGGGTAATCCTAGAATAGAGAAAACTTGTAGTAGTGCTTCGGCTATATGAACGCTACTTGATGCACTTAGGGGTATAGCCTGAGCTAGTTTTGAAAAATTGTCTATCACGGTAAGGAAGGTTGCTCCTCCTGTGGAGTAAAGGTCCATAAATAGATGTTGCATAGGTTTTGTTGGGGTCTCAGTTAAAGCTAACGGTGGTTTTAGGGGATTTCTTTCGTATTTTGTTTTTAGGCAGATATCGCATTGGTTTATGAATCTTTGAATAGTTAGTAACATATTTGGCCAGTGATAATTCCTATGTAGGTGTTTATATGTTTCTTGTATACCTCGATGCACTGTTTTGCCTTCGTGGTATTTCTTAATTAATTCTTGTTGTTCGGATTTGTTTTCAACTAGAGTAATACGCGAAGTACATCTTATTAATTTAGGTCCTCTATCATTAAAAATGGAAGTGTAAACCCTTGAAAAGGCTAAGTATAAATTTTCTTCATAAAAATAGCAATGAAATATGCGATCTGCTATAGTATGTTCTTTTAAAAACCTAATAATTTCAGCCTCAGTGTTATTAATCGGGATAAAAACGTCTTTAATTATTGTTCTGGAATTAGTGGATCTATTTTCTACTCTGTAACTAGAACCTGGGGTTGATCTAATATAAAACTGTTTTAATTGTTTGTCAATAGCGTCTGATAAAATGGGAATCCCTTTATTCTCATTGTCTGGTTGAGTGTGGTTTGTCGATATCATATCTGTTTCAGCTGTTACTGCGTCACTATCCTTTTCGTTGTTATCTACTACGTCGCTTGTCATTTCAACGTCATCTGTTGCTTCAGTCATTATTTCTATAACGTCATTATTATTAGTAACGTCATTTCGAGGTTCAGCTGTTTCGTTTTCTAAACGCACATTGTCAAATATTCGGTTTATGATGTTGTCATCGTCATTATCATCTAAGTTAACCGCTAAGGAATCTATACTTTTGTGAAAAATTTTAGCTCTAGACAGAGCGTCTGCGTTTGTATTTTGTTTACCCTTTTTGTATACTATTTTAAAGTCATATTCAGCGAGTTTTAGTTTCCATCTAGTCAGTTTAGAGTTAGGGTCTTTAAGAGACATAAGCCACATCAACGGTCTATGATCTGTATAGATAGTAAACTTACGACCATATAAATAAGGTCTGAAGTACTTTACGGCCCAAACAATACCTAACAGTTCTTTCTCTATTGTAGAGTAACGGGTCTCAGTATCAGAAAGTGTTCTAGATGCAAATGCTACAGGCATATCTGATCCTATATTTCCTTGGGATAGTACGGCGCCTAATGCTACGTCGGAAGCATCTGTAGTTAATATAAAGGGTTCGTCAAAATCGGGATACTGTAGTATTGGGGCGTTTGTAAGGATTTGTTTGCATTTATCTACGGCGTCTAAAAATTCGGGGGTGTGTATTACTTTCGCGTTTTTCTTTAGGCATGCTGTTAATGGCTTAGTCAGTTTGGCAAAGTCTTTGATAAATTTTCTATAATACCCTACTAGGCCCAGAAAAGATTTTATCTCTTTTGGCGTCCGTGGTATTGGGAAATTTAGAACGGCTTTAATTTTATCTTTATTTGGTTTTAGTCCTTGGTCAGTTAATTCATGTCCTAAGAAGGTTACTTGTTTTTGTAAGAATTCTGATTTGTCAAGTTGTATTTTAAGATTATGCAATTTAAATCTGTCAAATACCTGTTTTAACTTTTCTAAGTGTTGTTGTAGTGACGTAGACACAATTATGACGTCATCTAAGTAAGTGAATACGCTATCGATGCCTCTAAGGATATGGTCCATTAAGCGTTGGAAAGTACTTGGTGCATTTTTAAGACCAAAGGGCATTCTTAAAAATTCGTAATGTCCTCTCTCGGTAGTAAAAGCGGTTTTCTCTATGTCGTTAGGGTGCATTTCCAATTGATGGTACCCGCTAGCTAAGTCGAGGGTGGTAAAATACTGTGCACGCTCTAATCTGTCAAGTATGTCGTGAATGTTTCGTAAAGGGTAGTTGTCCTCTACTATTCTGTCATTAAGTCGTCTATAGTCTATAACAAGCCTCCACTTTACTTTCCCAGAACTGTCTGCTTTCTTTGGAACAATGTGAACAGGGCAAGACCATGGTGATATACTTTCCCTGATTATGCCTTGCTTAAATAGATTATTGATAAGAAAGAATTAATATTTATATGAGTAATACGAGTAAGTCCGCGTGCTTAACTATTTATAATACTACTAACAAACTATTAATACGATTTGAGCGTCGTTAATAGCTAGATTTAATATGATACTGATAGTAAGTACCTATAAATAACTCTAAAGTGCTATTTCCTACTTTTTAGTAACGCGATACCTACCTATGGCGATTCTAGCTCACTGATAACAACACACACTAATTATTATAATAAATATCGACAGGAAATCGAGCAAAGGATACTGGGATAACAATAAGTACTCACAGAAATATTCTCTGCATCTCCAACCGGGTCTCGTAGAATGTAGCGGGTCTCCCAATTCTCCGGAACTCCCACAGGAACACAGTGACCGCCGCCATACGTAGGTTCTTGATAAGGGATTCGCGAAATTAACGATGAAGACCGTTCACTCTTTAACGAAGAGTTTTTTGTAACCCGAGTGTCGCGATCCTACCGACTGCGCCAGTAAAGTTTATGACGGCAGTTAATTTATTAAAAAAAAATATTTATTTTAATCACGAGTTTATTATCTGAACATTCTACAAAGACTGATTTAACTATATTAATAATTCTACAAGTAACTTATGCTACATTTGCACTTTACTTGTGACGCACGTTGGTGCGTCCGAATTTGGGTTAGCAGACGATGCAGTTTTGCATCGTTTAACTCGCGACTTAAAAGTTATCATAGAAAATTGTGAAATTAATTGATTCACACAATAATCGATTTGTGTAAAATTAATATTTATTTCGGCGATATTGTTAATTTCCAATAAACTTATAATCGATATTTATTGTAGATTATAAAATGCTATATTTTATATGATGATTTAATATAGTTGGTAAATATTACTGCATATGCTTTGGCAAACTCAGTATAGTTCTAATTTGATCAGTATATGTTCCTAGTATATACTTAGCTAGATTTCAGAATCGTATTAAAAGGGTAAGATAAATAAGTGTTGTTACACTAAGACGCCTAAACAATTAAAACCATCTTAATGGAAATTCATAAAGTAAATAGACATAACTTTAAGAAAGGACATAGGCTACGTTTTTTCGCGTAAAATAGGGAATGAAAGTTTGCCTTGAAATTTGTCATCATCAAAATTTTTTTAGACAATTGATAAGTATAGATAAATATTTGATAACTCTAGTAATAATAAAGAATAAACAGAAGATTAACAGAAGTAATTAAGTGACACTCAACGTCTTTTTCGCATTTAATAACTCTATATAGTCCTTATTGTAATTAAATTTGAAATGACTGTTTGTGTCATAAATAAATTAAAAAAAAAGAAGTATCCTAAGGGAAAAATATTTCTGCTCAAAGAAACTACACCACGTGTATAAAATTATGCCTATATATAATACAGTCAACTGATCTCGTTAAGTTCATTTAGCATATTAATTCTCCGCTTACACGGCACTAATTTCGATTTGTTTACGAAATGGCGCCACCGATTGGTCTGTAATTGCTTAAGTTGTTTTTACAAAACTTCGAAAAAAAAATAGCACGTTTATAAATTTAAACATAAAGTACCACTCCATTATCAGCAATTTTATTCAAATGTCACAGATATTTTTAGCTGTTGTATGTTTATAATGCTGTTCCTAAATTAGTAAGAGTATAAGTTTTTACATCTGATAGTAGTCATCCGATAGTAGTAAAACAAATGCTTTCGTCTTGCCTCAATTTATTATGGTTTATGTAAAATGATCAAGTCATTATTTAGGAACCTTCAAACGCAATTACCGATTTTCGAAAAATCTCATCGTACCCAGCGTAAGTGACGTGTAGCTTTACATATTACACATAACACATGAAGTGCCTATTTACTCTGGCGTTTAAGAAATATAAGCTACATGACCACGCAGTGTATTTTACCCCTTAGCAGTTTGAAAAAGAAAGGAACTGGCATATCGCTTAGTCTGAGCACGTGCGATGTTAACAATGTACGGGTCGGCCAACCAAGTACTAAATCTAGTACTAGGCTGGGGTCCGTTTTAAGTCTTAATTTGTCAATATTTAATTTAAAATTTTACCTTCTGGAATAACCTTGTGAGTACCTGTGATTGTAGTTATGGTTATTCAGCTTTTATATTTAAAGCAAAATGGTACTTAATAATTAGTTAAAAAATCTCAACCTGAGAAGTTGTATTGTAATAAGAGTTGACGTTAAAGTTTAGAATTTTTGAAAGTTCAAATTAAAAAAATGGTATTTAGCTTTTGAATATATCGCACCGATATTGGTCAAGTTTTACAAATACGAAAGAGGTTAACCAGTCTATGAAGCTTTAAACTAGCTGTCAAATGGTGTGTATTTAACTCTTTTGTAATAAAATATCAGTTAACATGTTTTACCAGAATGGACGCAATATTAGTGTAATGACAATGGTCGATATTCCTATATAATAATCATGGTAGGTTGAAGTAAAGGATGGCAATTGTAGTTATTCAATACCTAAATAACAATACTGAATACACGTATGATTATGACGTATAAATTAAAATATTCCTTATCAATTGAAACAAAATCAGTATTCATAATAATCATTTTGATAATCATAATTATCTATAAACGGGGGGCAAGTATAAAATATGTGCAATCTCAGGTGGTATTATCAGTTTCAACACACAACTCTGGACAAAAACAACACCTGACTGACACATTGGGATGAAAAGTAAGTACCTTCTCAAACCTTCTTTTTGCGTATTAATTGCGATTTTAAACAGAAGTTTGTGTAAGCCCACACTCTGCTTTCGAGATACATTGTGTCGATTCTGTTAAATCAAAAACTCTCTAAAATCAAAATCGTAAAACAAAGTAAATTGAAAAAATAATAACTTAGCTTTATTTTAACGTTATTCATAGCCACATGTAATCGAAGAAATATATTTATATCTCCGTTTGCTAAATAAAAAAATCTCACGATGACGTAAGAAAATACTTTATATTTATATTGCCTATTAAAAAAAGTTAAATAGCCAAAATTTTTGTGTTACTAATGGAATACATAAAAAAGTATTAGAGCAGAAATAATGTAAATTTCATTTTCAATATTTACTTAGCCGGGCATCGATCTGGCGGCTTGTTAGTCGCTCAACTAAAGAAATTGACAAATCAAAATATAATTATTATTTTTTATTAAAATTCCAAAGCTTTAGCGAGGATGAACACTTATTTTCTTATTTTATGCATTAGTGAGCCATTTATTTGACTTATTTTCAAAATTCTATTAAAATAATTAATTAGACTAAGACTATAAAAGATTATGTTCGACGTTATATATCGTTACATCTTCCTTCTTTTTCGTCTTTTTTTAGGTATGTAATTTGTGTAATTCATTAATATTTCAAAGTACATCATTGCAACCAAGTTAATACATGTTAAACAAATCATGCTTTTTAAAACGCACTTAGTAATATTCAGCTGTGCTTAATAATTTTTTAAACGGTTAATTATATGATGATGATACGGCATCACATATATTGCTCAGATTCCATGATTAGTAGCTAAAGTTTTATGAATTATGAAGTATCTGAGACATCGAAGGTACCACCCCAGAATAGCCAGAACCGTGGCAATATAGAAGAGTCATTTTTCAAAACTGACCCGACCGAAAATAGAACCCTCATAGAACGGACCTTGAAATCGGCCGAGTGCGAGCCACTCGAAAGTCATCTACAATATTATTTCCTATTTATAACAACTAATAATAACTCGAGAAAATTAAAATTTCATGAGAATGCAAACACTATGCTTTTAATATCATAGAACTCCAAAAAATAGACACAGAACCTTGACAATGCACTCGTATCGTACATAAGCATTAACACTTAAATTTATTATTGAAAAATTTAAACCTTCTTCATTATTCAAATTGCATTAAAATCACTTAAAGTGAACGACAATTTTGTTTCAGATACACTGCTTTTACTGCTATGTGCATTTGCACTAGCGACTGCAACAAGTGGCGATGTTTACCCAAACGGCTGTCCGAAAGATCATGACATAGAACAACTATTTCCACACAATAATTGTCACAAATTTTATCAATGCTGGGATGGAAAGCTTGTAGTACACACATGCCCATCCAAACTCTACTTCAGCGTTGAAGAAAACCGATGTGAATGGGCAATAGAAGTCGATTGCAGTGGTCGTGAAGTTCCAGAAGATAATAACGATAGCGATGAGAATGATAATGAAGACAAAGGTAATGAAGGTAGTACTTGCAATTGCAATCCTGAAGAAGCACCCGCTATTTGCGCAGCTAAAGATTCCAATGGCGAGCTAGTTGCTCATGAAAACTGCAATCAGTTCTACATTTGTAACGAAGGAGCCCCTGTGACCATAAGTTGTCCAGGAAATCTTCTATTCAATCCTTACGAAAATAAATGTGACTGGCCAGATAAAGTACAATGTGATAACCGAGTTATCCCTGACGGCGAAGATTGTGATGACAATGGCAATGAGGGAGGTGATAATGGAGGCGAGGGTAATGGTGACAATGATAACGGAGATGGTGGTAACGGAGGAGGTACTTGCAATTGTAATCCTGAAGAAGCACCCGCCATTTGCCAAGCTGAAGACTCCAATGACGTATTAGTTGCGCACGAAAACTGCAATCAATTCTACGTATGTAGCCAAGGAGCTCCTGTCGCCTTGAGTTGTCCAGGAAATCTTCTATTCAATCCTTACAAAAACCAGTGTGACTGGCCAGATAAGGTAGAATGCGGTGATCGAGTTATCCCCGACGGCGAAGATTGTGATGATAATAGCAATGAAGGAGGTGACAACGGAGGTGGAGATAATGGAGGCAATGGAGGCGGTGATAATGGAGGCAATGGTGGTGGTGATAATGGAGGCGAGGGTGATGGCGACAATGATAACGGAGACGGTGGTAATGGAGGAGGTACTTGCAATTGTAATCCTGAAGAAGCACCCGCTATTTGCCAAGCTGAAGACTCCAATGACGTATTAGTTGCTCACGAAAACTGCAATCAGTTCTACGTATGTAGCCAAGGAGCTCCTGTCGCCTTGAGTTGTCCAGGAAATCTTCTATTCAATCCTTACAAAAACCAGTGCGACTGGCCAGATAAGGTAGAATGCGGTAACAGAGTAATCCCCGACGGCGAAGATTGTGATGATAATGGCAATGAAGGAGGTGGTAATGGAGGCGGTGATAATGGAGGCAATGGCGGTGGTGATAATGGAGGCGAGGGTAATGGTGACAATGATAATGGAGACGGTGGTAATGGAGGAGGTACTTGCAATTGTAAACCTGAAGAAGCACCCGCTATTTGTCAAGCTGAAGACTCCAATGACGTATTGGTTGCTCACGAAAACTGCAATCAGTTCTACGTATGTAGCCAAGGAGCTCCTGTCGCCTTGAGTTGTCCAGGAAATCTTCTATTCAATCCTTACAAAAACCAGTGTGACTGGCCAGATAAGGTAGAATGCGGTGACCGAGTTATCCCCGACGGCGAAGATTGTGATGATAATAGCAATGAAGGAGGTGACAACGGAGGTGGAGATAATGGAGGCAATGGAGACGGTGATAATGGAGGCAATGGCGGTGGTGATAATGAAGGCGAGGGTGATGGCGACAATGATAACGGAGACGGTGGTAATGGAGGAGGTACTTGCAATTGTAATCCTGAAGAAGCACCCGCTATTTGCCAAGCTGAAGACTCCAATGACGTATTAGTTGCTCACGAAAACTGCAATCAGTTCTACATATGTAGCCAAGGAGCTCCTGTCGCCTTGAGTTGTCCAGGAAATCTTCTATTCAATCCTTACAAAAACCAGTGTGACTGGCCAGATAAGGTAGAATGCGGTGACCGAGTTATCCCCGACGGCGAAGATTGTGATGATAATAGCAATGAAGGAGGTGACAACGGAGGTGGAGATAATGGAGGCAATGAAGGCGGTGATAATGGAGGCAATGGTGGTGGTGATAATGGAGGCGAAGGTGATGGCGACAATGATAACGGAGACGGTGGTAATGGAGGAGGTACTTGCAATTGTAATCCTGAAGAAGCACCCGCTATTTGCCAAGCTGAAGACTCCAATGACGTATTAGTTGCTCACGAAAACTGCAATCAGTTCTACATATGTAGCCAAGGAGCTCCTGTCGCCTTGAGTTGTCCAGGAAATCTTCTATTCAATCCTTACAAAAACCAGTGTGACTGGCCAGATAAGGTAGAATGCGGTGACCGAGTTATCCCCGACGGCGAAGATTGTGATGATAATAGCAATGAAGGAGGTGACAACGGAGGTGGAGATAATGGAGGCAATGGAGGCGGTGATAATGGAGGCAATGGCGGTGGTGATAATGAAGGCGAGGGTGATGGCGACAATGATAACGGAGACGGTGGTAATGGAGGAGGTACTTGCAATTGTAATCCTGAAGAAGCACCCGCTATTTGCGCAGCTGAAGATTCCAATGGCGAACTAGTAGCTCATGAAAACTGCAATCAGTTCTACATTTGCAGCGCAGGAGTCCCTGTAGTTCTAAGCTGTCCAGCAAATCTTCTTTTCAACCCTTATAAAAACATTTGTGATTGGCCAGACAAAGTTGAATGCGGTAACAGAGTAATCCCCGACGGCGAAGATTGTGATGATAACGACAATGAAGGAGATGACAATGGAGGCAATGGAAGCGGTGATAATGGAGGCAATGGCGGCGGTGATAATGGAGGCGAGGGCAACGGAGACGGTGGTAATGGAGGCGGTACTTGCAATTGTAATCCTGAAGAAGCACCCGCTATTTGCGCAGCTGAAGATTCCAATGGCGAACTAGTAGCTCATGAAAACTGCAATCAGTTCTACATTTGCAGCGCAGGAGCCCCTGTAGTTCTAAGCTGTCCAGGAAATCTTCTTTTCAACCCTTATAAAAACATTTGTGATTGGCCAGACAAAGTTGAATGCGGTAACAGAGTAATCCCCGACGGCGAAGATTGTGATGATAACGACAATGAAGGAGATGACAATGGAGGCAATGGAAGCGGTGATAATGGAGGCAATGGCGGCGGTGATAATGGAGGCGAGGGCAACGGAGACGGTGGTAATGGAGGAGGTACTTGCAATTGTAATCCTGAAGAAGCACCCGCTATTTGCGCAGCTGAAGATTCCAATGGCGAACTAGTAGCTCATGAAAACTGCAATCAGTTCTACATTTGCAGCGCAGGAGCCCCTGTAGTTCTAAGCTGTCCAGGAAATCTTCTTTTCAACCCTTATAAAAACATTTGTGATTGGCCAGACAAAGTTGAATGCGGTAACAGAGTAATCCCCGACGGCGAAGATTGTGATGATAACGACAATGAAGGAGATGACAATGGAGGCAATGGAAGCGGTGATAATGGAGGCAATGGCGGCGGTGATAATGGAGGCGAGGGCAACGGAGACGGTGGTAATGGAGGAGGTACTTGCAATTGTAATCCTGAAGAAGCACCCGCTATTTGCGCAGCTGAAGATTCCAATGGCGAACTAGTAGCTCATGAAAACTGCAATCAGTTCTACATTTGCAGCGCAGGAGCCCCTGTAGTTCTAAGCTGTCCAGGAAATCTTCTTTTCAACCCTTATAAAAACATTTGTGATTGGCCAGACAAAGTTGAATGCGGTAACAGAGTAATCCCCGACGGCGAAGATTGTGATGATAACGACAATGAAGGAGATGACAATGGAGGCAATGGAAGCGGTGATAATGGAGGCAATGGCGGCGGTGATAATGGAGGCGAGGGCAACGGAGACGGTGGTAATGGAGGAGGTACTTGCAATTGTAATCCTGAAGAAGCACCCGCTATTTGCGCAGCTGAAGATTCCAATGGCGAACTAGTAGCTCATGAAAACTGCAATCAATTCTACATTTGCAGCGCAGGAGCCCCTGTAGTTCTAAGCTGTCCAGGAAATCTTCTTTTCAACCCTTATAAAAACATTTGTGATTGGCCAGACAAAGTTGAATGCGGTAACAGAGTAATCCCCGACGGCGAAGATTGTGATGGTAACGACAATGAAGGAGATGACAATGGAGGCAATGGAAGCGGTGATAATGGAGGCAATGGCGGCGGTGATAATGGAGGCGAGGACAACGGAGACGGTGGTAATGGAGGAGGTACCTGCAATTGCAATCCAGAGGATGCACCTGCTATCTGCGCAGCTGAAGACTCCAACGGTGTTCTAATCGCTCATGAAAACTGCAACCAATTCTACATATGTAGTGGAGGTGCACCTGTAACTTTAAGTTGTCCAGGAGACCTTCTATTTAATCCTTACACAAATAAATGTGACTGGGCTGATAACGTTAAATGTATCAGAAACGATAATGATGACACGAAAGAAGAAGAAGTCAAAGAACTTAGCTGCCTAGAAGCGAGTGGAGGAGCAGGCAACGACGACCCACGACTAGCTTCTGCTATTTGTTCATCTGATAATTCGGAGGGTGTCTTAATTGCTCATGAAAACTGCAATCAATTCTATATATGTAATCATAACGAACCTGTAGCAATGTCTTGCCCGGCATCTCTACTATTCAACCCACACAATGACAAATGCGATTGGTCTCACTGCGTAGAATGTGGCAGACGAATTAATAATAGAACATTCTCTTCATTAAACAAACATCTGTCAGCACGTCAAGTTTTAAGAGTTCTATAATTTTTTGTGCCCTAAAATGCGAATACAAATTAAATGTTTTCATTCATACAAGACTTAATGTTAAGTGCATGTGTACCTGTCCTGTCTCGACTTCTCTGGTAATAAACATAAAATAAATTGCAAATAATTTATCATATTTTTTATTTTTAATCCATACCTTATAAAATATGTAATTGAGGGTTCTTAGGATATTCGTATAAACATATATTTTTCGAATTTTACTTAATACAGCATTTTAAAGTTAGATAAATATTTTACTTCACAAAATTTGGCTAAGTTGTTGTTCTCTGTAAAAACTATACTAATAGCTGATTCGAAAACTGAAATAATTCAAAATTTCTATTTGTTATATGTATACGAGTAGTAGTAATAGTAGTAGCATATGTCGCCATCGGCAATTAAATCAGACATCCAATTGGGCGGCTAACATTTTAATTGAATGGCGTCATTTCTCTAGTTGAATCATTATGACATTTGGACGTTCAATAAGACTGAACGGGCTTATTTATAAGCCGCCAAACGTACATTTACTATATCGCTTCGTAGCGTTAGCTTCAATTTGTTTATAAAAATATTTATTCATCCAACGTTGGCAGTGTTCCTTTTGTAACATTTTATGTTACTTTTGACCCTCTCATGTGACCTCTATTTTACGAGACTCAAAAGGTTACTCTATTGTTTACACACAACAAAAATCTCTTTCAGAATCACGATTCGACGACTCACGATTCTTTCGAACCTTCATTAATAGGTTTTAATATTTTTTAATTGTTGTGCTAAAACTTGCCGAATTATTAAATTTCTAACCTATCAGGTAACCTACAGGACCAAAATAACTTCGATTTCTTATCATTTTTGTTATCCATTAAAAAAGTAACCTCGAAATTCAAGCCGCCTTAAATTTCGAACCTGTTACATGACCTACAAGACAAATAACTTCGGAGTTTATAATTTTTATCACGAAAGTGACATTTTTATAATATCAGTATTTAAAACAAAAACATTTGTCAAAGTTCATAAAACATCAGACAAAAGTTAATTATTGCGTATTTTTAAAAAATTATATCCCGGAAACTACTCCTCTCATTATTGTAAAATTTAAATTTCGAAGATTTGAAAAATATTTATTGTAAATTTTTGTTCAAAAATAAACAGCCAAGCAATTACAAATTAATTATTTATTTTAATTTCTACCAATAAGTTAAAGTAACGCCAAATTGACAGTTACTTCGTTGGCTGAGCTTTGTTCAGACGTATTCTAGGGTGCCATTCAATTAACGATTCAATTAAATTCGACGGCAGATTCAACTACTTGGCTGAGATACACCTATTATATTTTAGCTCATTTCAGTTAATTCGCATTGGTTTTGTTTGTTCGAAGTTATTGATAATACTTTCATTTAATTATGCCTATCAAGAATAATAAAAAAAAATTAAATCGGGGATTAAAATAATAATAATAACAATAAAATCACTATAAGGAAAATAATATAAATTTTCTATTTTCGATAAGTTAAGGTTTAAAACAGTGTAGCATAATCTGATAATATATAAAGGCTACAGTGGGGTATAAGAATAGTCTATGCTAAAGATTGCATCAGGGGTATCATTTTAAATACCGATTAAGATAGTAAACTTCATGCATCTTATCTTATATTAGAATAAATCTTATCTTATATTAGAATAAAAAACAATCAGTGCTGATTTATTACGCGGCGATCAGTGGTAATAACTGCTAGAATAATAGGTAACATAGGTACATAAAATGATAATGGAACCGCTCTTTACGAAGCTAGAAAAATCTAATTTGAATTTGGGTTTGTATTAGATTAGATTTACATATAAGCAGAAAAATGTCATAGCATAAAATCTATGGCTTAAATAAAATAGCTTGTTACGTGTATTACTATATATTCGAATAACAAAATACTTCTCCGTACTTTTATATCATTGCTTATAATGTTATAATAGGGATGACGACTAATTTTTGTTTGTTTGTCCGTCAGGTAGATTTAAAAAATATGAAACACGTATTTTTTTATTTTTTTCGTAATCATAAAATTACGGCGTTACATGGAGTTGAAATTTCGCATGACGTCACGTTATGGTACGTTTTCTGCTAAACTGTGAAGTAGCGAGCCCCCACTCTTCAACTTTTATGACTGTTATCTAAGCTATTTCTTGATAAATTGAAGTAAAAAAAAAATACGTATCTAATATTTTTCTACTATCTGACTAACGGACTAAATAGAATTGCACTTTTTTTACCCAGTCGTCATCCCTATTACAATGTTTTCAATTATAGAATTCATAGTTTATTTAAGAATTAAAAACGCAATTTGACGGCATTAGATCTAAAACTACTACAGACTACCAGTACCAAAATTGTTGATCATAAGGCTGCCATTACACAAAATCCACTGCAGCAACCGCGCGCAGCCTGATCAGCAACCGCGGTTCACGAATCAGGTTTGACTTAGCGAAATTGACGCTATGCATTAATGCATCTAGCCCAGTCAAGGGCTGCAGTCTTGACAGACTGCGATAGCAATCTTACTGGATTTAGCCTCTAACTCTTAGCGACCTTAATTTATCAATTATTGCAAGGCTTTTTTGCTGATTGACGCACGCCCAGGAATTGTAGTCGTCTCAAAATTCACTGACCGAACTGTCGCTAGCAACATACTTAACTGTAGAGACGTTACGATTACAACGACGAGAGAAAAATTACAATCGCTATGAGTTAGCGACCGATTTCGGTAAGATTGCGATTGAAGATTACAGCCCTGTGCTTTGTGCAAAAATGAATGTTTATTTTCATATTATATCTGATTCAAAAACGTATTATTCATGCATTTAATAATATGGAAATTGTCCAATTTAATAATTACTAACTTAGAATTTTGAAAACTAGCATTTAGCTACAGTATTAATAGACAGAAATGAGTCGAACATAGTAGCGCCATTTGTGAAATTTCTTATAGTATTTTCTTTCTTTAATAATTTCTAAATGCATTTGTAATTTTGAATCAGAAAAAGCGAAAAAATAAATTAAAAAATAGAGTATTCCCGTACATGTAAAATGGGTATGATATTTTTCATCTTTACCATACGACTGGTTTCGTTGGATAAGTTTTTCAAAAATTTAAGAGGTGTGGGAAGACCATTTTTCCATTTAGTAAACCGTTCGTGACTTAAGCTTTAAAGTGCCAATTGTCGTTAGAGTCAAATGACCTCCCACCCCCTTTACCAACAAAACGGTTGTCAAAAATTCAATTGTCAAGGCATTAGAACTAATACCTATATTATGAAGTTAAAAAGACTACACTTAAATTGACTTTACAAGTTAACGAGTAATAGTCGACCAATAGTATATACATTTTTGCGTTTTTTATATATTAGGTCCTTACATATGAAATTGGCGTTTTGTCGTAGGTACTGGCCGCCTTAATCACAAATTTTTTCTCCTTGTTTTCAAATTACACATGTATTTGTGTTTCCGTTAGGCGGCATTCATTTTTTTTTCTTCTGTTTGTCTTATTTACGTCACCCAGTATAAAAAATGGAAAACTTGAAATATCGTGTTATTTACGAGTACTAGTTCCACCGTGATATCAGTGCTGCCGAAACGATTCGAAGGGTTAATGATGTGTATGGTGGTTGTATCGCAAAAGAAAGCACAGTGCCTTTTAGGTTTCAACGTTTTCGTTCTGGAAACTTCGACCTGCAGAACAAGCCCCGTGGACTGCGGGAGACCCAAGTTAATATTGAAGGCTACTGTGGGAGCGGATCCATCGCAAACCACGTTCGAGTTAGCTGCAGGCTGCGGCGTTTTCAATTTCTTGAGCCTACTAGAGTAACGGCACATTCAGCCACTTGTTTGGATAATGTATATTCTGATTATGATCTGATTAATAAACTTGTTTTCAACAATCTTACATCTGACCATTACGGACTAAAGACCACATATAGGATTAATATCATTAATGAGCCAAAAATTATTAAGTATAGACCAATTACTAAAATACGCCTAGATAATTTTAAAAATAACATAGATGAGAAATTAATTGAGATGGTATGGCCAAATGATGGTCCTGATGATCTTTATAGTAATCTATTCTGCCTTATAAAAAATGAATTCGAAAAGGCTTTTCCGTGTAAGACCGTAAAAGTTACACAGAAGTTACAGTTCTGTGACTGGGCTACAACAGGTATTTATAAAAGTAGAAACAAACTTTATGAATTTATACGCTTTAAGAAAATATAACCATAATCAAAATTTCATTGACTACGTGAAGAATTATTCGAAAGTATTTAAAAGGGTGTGTTTTGCGGCAAAGACAAATTTTATTAAAGAGAAAATAAATAATTCCAATAATAAAGTCAAAACAACTTGGAATATAATAAACCGTGAAACCGGTAAGGAACAAATACGTGAAGATATTCTGACACTTAACTTTAATAACACGACCATCAAATCTCATGATAAAATCTATACTATAATAAAAACGTAACCGATCGATGTCTGTACATTGAAGATATATGAAAAAAACTGTTTGTTATAAGGGACATTTATAAAAGTAATAGAACCCAAAACAATGATTTTTAAATTTTTTGTCTGTTTGTCTGTGCGTTTGTGCACGATAATCTCAGAAACGGCTGAACCGAATTAAATGCAGTTTTCACTATTATATTGTGGTATTCTTCCGTTAACATTTAGTGTAAGATTTATTTCAATCGGTTCACAAATAAAAAAGTTATGTCAATTTGAAGTGATGTGGTCGTCAAAATTGCTATGAAATATTAACTGTTTTATTAAATTTTCGTCTTTGATATATTGATCACCATCATTAACTCTTTAATAGCCAAACGGCAGGGCCTAAGGCCTTTGTTTAATAATTTTTGGTCACCCATCCCGTGAACAACTCTTGCAAATATTGCTTAGCAATATCGATCATGAGCAGTGGCGCTTATCCGTAGCGCCACCGAGCTACGAATTA